CAGCCTGGAGCCGGACGCTCCCCAGGGCTTTACCGTATTAACAGGAGAAGCGGAGCAAGTGATATTAGACAACATAATATAAATGTTTTAAATCCGGTGAGTCTGGATCTGTCAGCAGGTGGGTCCTGATCCCCGGTCCGCTAATCCTTCACCTCTGCACTACATGATTGGATGAACGTTGCCACACAACGTAAAACATTATGGTTGCCCAGACAACGATAATAACATCTGTAGCGTTAGCGTGTTTAATGAACGATGAAGTTTTTCCTGATTGATAACAAAACTGAAAAAAAAAAATCTGTTTCTGGTGAACAAAGTAACTGTGAGGCTATGGTTTATAGGGGGAGAGCTGGGTAGCGCTGTGGCTAGCTGTGCTCACTAGCTAACAGGTTAGCTCGCTCAGTTAGCCATATTTAGCTACGCTACTTTAAGTCTGTGTCAACAACAACCGTTTGTTTTCTACAAGTAGAATAACTGTTTTATTCGTCTAAAATCTCTAAGAAAGTCGTTTTTAAGATGTTCCATTTGTCCTCCTCTGTCCTCAGATCTTAATTAAAAGAATAAAAATAAGCGAGACTTTGAAAGTCTCCTTGTTAAACGGCAGAACTCAGTCTGTCTTAGAAGGCCGAGGTTTCCTTCATGCTGATAATGATTGTTTTCTACTTTAACTACTTTAGAAAATATAATATAATATAATAATAGCAAATATTGGGAATTATATGTTGAGATTTGATCCTTAAGAAATGGGTGTGATACAGTTTGTCCCTGTGTAGTTGCCTGTGATGATGTCATGATCTGGTCCCTACAGCAGCGTCTTCGTCCACCGGAGAAAATATTCTATTCTAACTGCATGAAAAACAATGTTGGTTTTGATCAGTTTGGCTCTAATCCATAAAATGTGAAAATATTCCTCTAATCTAAGCAAACATCCAGTCATTAAACGTCCTTTATCACATCAGGACTTACTGAGGAATAGTTGCTCACATTCTGTGGACGCTGAAGCTCCTTCAGTAGATCAAGACCTTCTGTTTCTAAGGTAACTTCATCTATTTACCCAATAAACTGAGCTCACTGTGTAACGATAGGCAGAGACGCTCAGGAAACCACATACAAGCTAAACATGGAGGGTTAGGGTTGGTCAGGGTTGGTTGGGGTTGGTTAGGGTTGGTCAGGGTTGGTCAGGGTTGGTCAGGGTTGGTTAGGGTTGGTCAGGGTTGGTCAGGGTTGGTCAGGGTTGGTCAGGGTTGGTTAGGGTTGGTTAGGGTTGGTTGGGGTTGGT